AATTGATATCTAATTAATTTTTGCCTTTTATAATCATCTACGTTTCTGTATTTTGATTACCATTTTACACTGCTTTGTGACTTTCATACCAAGTACTATTTCCAGTAGACAACATGCTTTTCTGCCATTAAGTGGTTCAAACTTCACTTAAATCCAAGAATAATAATTAGATGGACTTGTTTGAAATGAGATTTCCAATAAGTTACAAGTCGATAAAAGCAGAAGCCAAAAGGTGATAAATATCACTATTAAGCAAAGAAATGCCAAAGAGTTTTCCCAGCAAGCTCCCTAAATGAATTTTGTGGCTGACAACATTGATTCTGACGTGGTGCTATGAAGTGTACAATACGTTGTAAGTGGCCAAAACTTTGTGACACAGAGAGCCCACTGGTAATGGGAAGTAAATCTTTGTATTTGGTCCGTAAGCATACCGTAAGGTACCCGGTAGGTGTTTTGTGACATATTTTGGTATATTGAAATGACATTACTCAAAGGCATTGTTTTTTTCTTTCGAATAACATGAATTGGTTTTGTCAGACTTCTATTGCTAGACTACCATTATGATATGGGACAACCAGGTCATGCTTCTGGGAAAGTGGTTTTTTCATGTCAGCTAATTACCCAGGGACAGGGTTTGTTAAAAATATTTGTCAGGCCATGATCTCAAGTACCTGCATGTTTATATCAGTCCAAGTTAAGGAATTACATTTGTACTTGCAAGAGGTCTTAAGATTTTGTCGCCAATGACACCCCATTTTCCTTTCAGAATTAACCATATCCTCTATAGAATGACCGGTAAGTCTAAAAGTGTGATACTTTAAACTGATGAACAGGTACATGGCAAAAACGTTTGGGCCAAATGCAAGGTCTAAAGGGTTAACTTGACCTGGACTGGTTTTGACATCTTCCTGATGGGACATGTAGTGCCCCCTGTACATTGAAATCTCATATCACCGATGGTCTTGTCCACTTTCTTACTACCTTTTAAAGAACTGCATCATTTCTGTGCACCACTGACTTTTCGTAAGTCGATTAATTTCGATATAACATCAGCGTAACCTTACGTCGAAAGTGTCTGAGCTTCCTTTCATTTTGCAAGTAGTTAATAAACTTAAACAACAGATTTGGACATCGATAAATTAAAAAGTCCATTACTTGAAAGGTTGACTCCTCTATGTTTTTGTAGCAAAACGTAACAAACTTAAGTAATCCTCCCACCATAACACTCTGCCAACTTGACCAGACAGCAGAACTGAAATGCAATGAAGCCATGTTTTTGTATGTGCACCATACATTGTTACCTTTGGCTATCAACGGAAGATTGTCTACGAGTCAGAAACTCTTTTCATATTGGCTTTTGTGTCAAAATATAACACCCAACAGCCTTGCTGTCAACGTGCTTTCTGCAGCTGCTCTTTTAAATCCATCGCGCTCACACAGTGGTGCAGGACAGCAGTACAACCCCTTTGTTTAATTAAGGCATTTGGGTTTGGGCAATGCATCATCACCTTCTGCCAGTCACTTTTGACATTCTTGCTCATATTTCCCTGACTTCTTCAGCCCAAAAGTAATGATTCTGCAAGAACCTCTTTTGGCATCCCCATAGTTGGCATCCCTAAGCCGGCAACTTCTTGCGCCTACAATCGTGGACAAAAGTCCTTGGGACACTTATGTAATTTAACGGATTATCTGTGTTTTACTACTGAAGTTTGAAAAAAGCGCTGCTTTGCTTTCAAAAGCGCGTTACTGTTTCCCCTCCCCACCCAATACAATGTTGAAATTTAGGAGAAATTGCAGCTAGTAGTTTTCAACATTTTATGGGGAGTGGGGGGCGAGGTTAGGCAGGTGAAGTAGTATTCGTGTCTGGCGTGTGCGCCAGAGCACCAAAAGTGCAAATTTGTCCCAAGACTTTAGTCCGTGATGGTAGTTGCAGAACACTTGTGCTTAGATCCTGCAAGACGCTTTTCTCTTAGAAGTTAAGGTGTCTCAATACAGTTTTTTGTAGACTGAACCAAACATTTTCAATCAGCATTTTAACAATCTTCCCTTTATCGGATCGATATAGTGATTACACCAGTAGTTGGAAGTGGATTGAAGTTTAGTATGATTTATTTCGTGAGGCAATCGATATTTCCATGATCTACAACTGCAGCAAAAGGATAAGAAAAGGAGAAAGGGGAAAGCGAAAATGATAATAATAATAATAATAGTAATAATAATAATAATAATAATAATAGTAATAATAATAATAAAAACTAAAGACGTAGGTCATCTCGAAATTTTGATTCCTCCCATGCCCGAGCAAAAATGTTATGAAACGCGGTTCTAGTGAAAAGAAAAGCACGCTGGTATGTTGCAAATGGCCTATTGAGTAGATTGGAGCTAATTTGGCTCATATTCAGTGTTCTGTCACGCGTAACTCATCGCGTTACACGTTTTTCAAAGCACAGCATTGTAATCGTTCGTAATGCATCATGAGATAGGATTCGCCATGTGATTAGCAAAAATATCTTTGTAGACGTGTTCTCCGGTGAAGATGCTTTTTCGTTTCACCTAAATTGTTTATTCTTAATAAACCCAGTTACACTGCCGATGAAGAGTTCTGGTTTCGTCTGTTGTTGGGGTAATTAATGGATCAGGGCTTGACGGATCGGAACATTCGGCTGAAAATGCCCCAAATGTCCAAACAATGCGCTTATGCGCATATACTTAATGTGCTTTAAGACTTTTACCTTTTAGATCTTTTTGCCTGTATTTGTGTAAATACCCTATTATTTATTATTTTTAATTTTTTTAATGTATCCACTTATGATTCTGTTAGTGTCCGCAATTAGCATACACGTGTCCTACTGCTACTGCTACTGCTACTGCTACTGCTACTACTACTACTACTATGCTAGAAAGCCTCAGGTGTCAATGGGTTAAGCACTGACCATACATCTACAAAAGCACAAAACATTTGGCATTATAGACACCGCTACAATCATGGCAACCCAGGCTTAAATTGTTACTAGAATCACTGAGAAAGTGATGGGGGAAATTTTGGGTGTCATAAAAGCATGGATATTTGCATAGTAAGTATCAGCTTTTCTAAATCATACATTCATAAAACTAGCTTTATCATGATCCGTAGGATATATTTTATGTTTTTAGTAGGTTTTTGAAATTTACATATTAAAAACAATAAATGGTGATTATGACCCAGACGGGGTAAGAGGGATTGTGAAGGACAAACTTGACAAAAGTGGCTTTGATGTGGCTCTTCTAAACTCAGTACAAGTAAGACATGCTAACCTAAATCCAATCACATTTTGGAAGAATAAGTCAATAGCCACAGCATTAAACGCCTTCAGTAAAATTGATACGAATTTTCTCAAGTAATGCTCAAATATTTAGTTTAGAATTTATTCATTTGTTAAGCCAGAGTGCAATGAAAGTTTGTCTCTCTCTCTCTCTTAGATGACACATTACAGTGCAACAGTTTTCTTTTCGATTGGAGCCGGAAACAGAAAAATAAGTATTTCATTCTCGATAATGGCAACAAAAACAAACAACCATTCGGGACTATTGAAGTGAACGAAGTCCAAGTACGTTTTCTGTAGTTTATCCATTGTTCTTATGGCGTTACAAGTTTGATGTAGCTATGTCATGAATCATGTCAAAAGCAGAAAAAAAAAACTGTGCCAAACGACTATTCAATAGTGGGGCACCATTTGAAAAGCACGTTTTCAAGCCAGCAATAAAAAGTCGAAGAATCTGCGTACAATTAACTCATTTTGTGCGCATAACTTACACCAACCTGCCACAACTTGGCTGTGATTGCCCATTTTTGTCATTACTGTGCAAATATACGGCATATGTGTATTGAGATCCATCCAAAGGCGTTCATTGACGTTGACAAATTATGCAAAGACAGGCCAGCCTCTGAGAGACTCGCAGAAGATCTGCCATTTTCTGCTTGTAATTAAGCACTGTTGAGATCTTCTGAAAAACACTGTGACAGTCTGCTATAAAATGTCTGTTTTATGATTTGCACTAATATGTGCTAGCCAGATACTTCGTCCAGCGATCAGCCAAGAGAAAATCAGGGTAGAGATGTTCTTGACATAATTACTTGCATTCAAAAGGACCTAAATTATAAGAAAGGATAACTACAAGAACATAAAGAATAGGAACAGAAAGGAACAGTGATGAAACAAATAAAAATTACAAAATAGCTGCGATTCTGGTGGACATCCTAATTGGATAAAATGGTATTCTATTTCAGAGCATAATGAGATGACGTGACAATATAAACGAAAGTATACGACTTGTTTTTCATGCACGCATGATCAAAGCTGGTAGCTGAACCTTATTCTTTTCTATTTTTAATTCTGTGGCCATTTCTTTATAATCTGATAAAGACCGTAGCTGATAATATTTGACAAGACCAGTAACTGTGACTCAGATTCTCATTCCACATTATTCAGAGCAAAATGATATCAGTAATCATTGGGATTTGGGTTTTATTTCCAAATCGGCATACTAGCTTAAGCTCAACAATAGTATCAACATTTGAATTTATGACATTGTTCATGCAGACATCTTTTTTCAACGGCTATTTAAGGACTTTTCGAAGACAGCCCAGCAATATTCAAGGACTCATTTCTCTCAGATGCCTATGCTAAATTTGTTTGGGTCAGACAAAATGTAGAACACTCAAGTTCCCATTGAAGATGGGATAACTGAGGCTGTTAAGTGCTTAAGTGCTTAAGTGCATAATAATCGCTTGACTCCTCAATCATTAAAATCAACTCTTAAGGACTTTAAATGGCTTTTTTTTAATGTTTGATTTGCAGTTTGTATCTCCAAATCAGTATTGTTGTTATTCTAGCATTTTATCCCAAGAAAATATTAATGGTATCTTGGTCATGCATTGCTCTTCTGTCGTGCATTATGGCATTGGGCCAATTTCGCCTTTGAAGGAATAGTAACTTTGAACCAATAGCGATAAAACTTACCGTGGAAATTTTCTGTTGTAAAATGGAATTTGAAGTATTCCAGCTGGGAAAACTAAGGACAAAATGGAAAAAGAAAAATGAATAATTGAAAGATCACAACGGTTTATCAAAATAACTGTAAAAAAATGTTGGTGGACATAGGTGTGATAGTAGGGTACATTGAATACAACTATTTGCTTAGATTATGAAATGCTGAGGCAACCTTTTCAATTTGATGTGCTTGATGCGGACAATAAATCAAAAACTTTAATGAAACGTTGAATTTGTGTGATATATTACTCAGCAAATGCAATATGAGAAGTGAGATGCACAAAATAAGTGAAATGACTGACTTTGGTGATATTATACAGAAAACAATCACCAGTTCCAGAAATATTCATTCAAGCACCTAGGGGACACGATAACATGGCCACGGCACAGCCAATTTTGCCATCTGGTTTAAAACTGCCTCAGCTTCTCAAGATTGATGAAAACATTGTAACCGGAAATGACTCAAAGAACCTGGGATAACTCTCGATTGCGGCTTGACTCAAGCACTTCAAGAAAAACTTCAATATAGTATTGTTTCAGTTGGTAATAAGAGAGGATGCAATGGAAATGTTCCATGGAGTGGATCTCACACCAGAAAGAGGAAATCAAGGTCAGCAGGAGAGTCAAAAAATTTGACGAGTTCTGCATTGAATAAAAACAAAAAACCCAATGGGAGGTCATCTTTAAGCGAGGAAATCAATAAGAAAAGGAAAGCATTGATCAGTACATGACAGAATTGCAAAAAATTACGCGAACACGCTTATAAGAGATCAGCAGGTGTTGGGAATCAGGGATAACTCGATTCAAAAGACATTGCTGCAAGAAACAAGCTCAACCTGTTGTAAACTACAGACCGTGGAAGAAGTGGCGAAACAACGAACATGGATCTTACAGAGCTCAAGAACAAAGCTTTGACATTTGGTATGATGAAAGAGTTAATGCATTGTAGGCCAGAATGGAAGACCAAGAAGAGGAAAGGAAAAAAACTGATCTTGTCATTCTAATGGGGGATGTCACAGCTGAAGAGATTGCCCAGCAATTGGGAAAACATGTAGGAAATGTAGAAGTGGAAATCATTTCTCTTAAAGACGCTGGCAAAGTTTCCAGTTCTTTTCTAACACACTCGCACCAGTCCCTTACTAAACAAATATTAATAAGAGCTCTGCGCAAAATTCCAGCCCAGTTCACGTAAGAACCCTTCATTTCGTAACCTCGCGTGTTGTACCCTATGCATGATGATCAAGTTCTCATCCATACTGCTTGAACAGTTCCCGACCACTTCAACTAAAATAACCACGCGCAGCAGGTCCAGTTTATGGAGACCCAAATCCGGCATTTTTACTGGCAAAACTGAACTAATCAGAGCCACCTTAAATAAGGTGGCCCTGAACCCTCTCCATTGAATTTCTTTAAACTTTGTAAAAAAAAATGGCATCTTATCATGCATACCACAATGGGGGTCACCAAGGTCATTTTGAGTTACAGCTAAAATTAAGAGTGTTTTTAACAGGTTGTATAGATAGATGATCAGGCATTTGTGTGATACCATTATTGTAGCACCACTTTATAAACAGTGGTAGTATTCATCCTTCAGAGTAAATTTGTATAGCTGTTAGAAACGTATTGGAAACTGTTTCCAGCATCCTAAAGTTTGCCAACAAAGGAATTCATGCAAAAGATATGTATCAGCGAACATTGTAAAACAATCTCAACAACTGGCAAATGATATCTCTGGAGATTCAATCACAATGCTGGACTCGTCTGCTGATGTTTTTCAAGGAATATGAGAAATTGTCGAACCCCTATACTTTGAAGTAGATGAGATGATAAGATGATAAGATGATAAGAATTTGTCTTGCGATCCACAGCCACTGAACAAGGCTTTAAGGCTTTCTCATTACAACATCTCAACGATTAAAATAGTCCTTCCAGATTTAGCTATTGTACAGTATTTACTAATGTGGACATTAAAAATGGCTACTGGCAGCTAAAACTTGACTTTCCTATTCTGACCGTCTTCAATACTCCCTTTGGTCACTACAAGTGGACCAGAAAGCCATTAGGGATTTTCCCTACGGGAGAAATTTTCCAACATTGCCTAGGCCAAGCTAATGAGGGACTGACCAGAGTCAGGATAGTGGTAGATGATTTCGTTATCACTGGAAACGGAAAGTTAACTTAAGATGCAGTAAAATGCTAAGCTAGAGGCATTGTTAACCTGGTGCCCCAAGCACGGAATCAAGCTCATAGATTGTCCTCAAGGAAATGTTCATGCCAGACTTTACTGTTAACGAAGTAACAGTGGACCCCTCTAAAGTCAATGCAATGGCCAATCTGACCTAGCCAAATGAGATGCAGGGTATCAAAAAGATCCAATTACTTAGCAAAGTTCCCATCAAAATTATCAGACGTCTCAGCACCATTGCAAGATTAAACTAGAAGGGTTCGAGGGCATTTGATGATATAGAAACACTTGTGTCAAGTCCGCCACTGCTTAAATACCATGAACCAGGCAAGCCACTGGTACTGCAATGCAATACAAATAGAAGAGTCTGGGTGCTTTGCTGTTGACAGAAACTTTGGGAAGGTTAAAGGTCAGCATTGAGTTCTAGGTTCTCTGGGTTGGTTTGAGTAACCAATGTGAGATGAGAATGGTCGATGACTGCCATTGGAAGCCAAAGTCTCTGTCAAGGGTTACAGGTAACAAATATGACCGTGTCCAAAAATCTAAAATAGGATTCTAGGTTGAATAACAATGCTGTTTAGTACTTATTGTTACGTTAGAAAACTGAAATTGTTTTTGAAACTTGCTAATAGCGTTAAAACGTCATTAAGTATTTTTAACAATTTTTAGAACAAAATTTCAATTTCCTGGGTTGTCTTGTCGGACTGATAATATCCTTGTTTCCAGGTAACCATGAGGCTTGGATTTTATTAATGGAGTGTCAACCTTGCCATAGTTGTTTCTTATTGAAACGAAGGTTATTTTTTTAGGAACAACTTAAATAAAAGCAACATTACAATAAACCAGTCAAACAAACAAATTGCAACAGAAGTTTTCTCATTGCCATGCGTTAGAGGGTGGTCCACATGGTAACATACTAAAAATCCCTAAAAATCCGCTGAGTGGAACATGCCTAAATTTCGCGTTTTAAATTTTGAGCTTCTACCACAGGGAACCCAATTCAAGTAAACACAGAAATTATTTTTATTGAGTGTTTGTCTGTCTAGGAAGCTTCGATACCGTAGAATGTGCACATGTGCATAACTTGACATTGCCAACTAACTGTCACCGTCACTTCCCTTACTTGCATGCGCCTACAAAAAAAGAGCCAGTCAAGGCAGAGGCGTCTCTAATACTTCATAGTGATAGCTAGGCGTAGTTAATCGATAAACCGATAATCGATATTAACGATAACAGTCGATATTGATATCGATTGCCGATAGCAATCGATATCAATTGATATCGATTGATTTCCAATATCAATTTTTATCGATTGACTATGCCTGATGATAGCAATGGTTTGTCTATTGCTGGTTTACACCGTCACGCAATCAAAAATAAAAATCGTAACCAGTCAATAAATTAGGTCAAGAATCTGAGATATGAGAGATGATTGATAATGGTAATTGAACTGAGTGGAGTGCAATTTGGTCTGAAATCATACGCGTGATTTCAAAATTGAATAAGCGCGCAGCGCGAGTTCGATTTGAAATCACAAGTATGATTTCAGACCAAAATTGCACGACACAAAGTTCAATTGCCACTTTAGTAGATCCATTTTGAAATCGCAAAATTTTATCACCTTTAATTTTAGATTTTGGTGCATTGTTCCATTGGCTGGTTTGTTGAAAATAGCGGAACCGGAAAAGTCATTACGTCTCATTTAGTATGCAAAACGATATCATGTGACGAAAACTCATTCAAGCATAGCAAAGAAACAACAGTTCTGAAGTCAGAACAAAAACCTCTCCGATTGCCTTAGCCAGGAGCTTGCGTTGACCAAGGGTCATTTAAAGATCTAGCTATTTTTGACTCCGTTACAAAAAGCAGAGAGTCGTTTGGATCCAAGTTTTGTTTGATCAGGATTTCTAGTGAATCCTTTCCTATTTCATTGGTGTCGCACCAAGTTTTGAAGTTGACAATAGCTGGTTTTCACATGACGTCAATAAAATTCGAACTACAAAACTATTGATCTTCCTGAGATTTTACTTAAATGATGTATAAGAGCAGCTGAAAACTAATATTCATACAAATTTTCGCTCCGAATGGGTTCTTGGTTTTGTGATACACCACGCCTGAATTTCTAAGCTTTTGCGTGACGCGGCATTTACATGACGGCCTAGAGACCCGGGAAGGGGGGGGGGGGCACTGCCATATATGGGCTATATAGGTATGTGCCGCTGTGA